TGATGGAACTCTGTCAAAACACTAAGCACACTGACGTTCCATATGCTATTTGTCCAATCAATTATCACCTAAGTGCTTGTCCATTAATGGATCATTTCAAATCACAAAATGTATATGCATAAGCATAGCCACATAGCATCAGAGTGGGCTGAGAAAGCTGCATGACTTCTTTCTAGGCCCCCAGAAATTTCTCTGATTTGCATGAAAAACTCTGATACTATGTGAGATTTTTTTTCCAGTGTGCTCTGAAAAAAACAGTTTTTTTAGGGCCTCAACTCTGTAAGTTGCAGAATTTTTAAGGCTCACTCTGAAATTTCAGAGTTTTCCGGGAGTGTACTCTGATAAATTCAGAGTACAAACGCGTACCGACTCGGATTCAATGTACCTTGGCGCCGACACCCAGGATTAGCGGTAGTACCTGTACATGTCCCGTCAATCACGCGAAACATGGGACAACACAACAGTCAAGTTATGTGGGCGACGCCGCCCTGCGGCGTGATTTTTCCCTCGTAAGCACCAGCGCACACCCTGTTTGAGCACTGATTGGTCCTTTTGGCAGGTTTTGCTTGCCATCACGGACTCCTCCAGTACCCACGATGCTGCAATAGGCACCCACGAAACACTGCTGACAGCAGGGCTCAGGTTTGCAGTGTAATTTACCCTTCTGTACTGATTACAAGGGTGAAATTTTGGGTCTACACTGATGTGCTGGGGTAATTTTTTTATGAGTTAGTGTTACACTGATCTGTAAGTGTATCGACGTAGGCCACACTGATGCCTTGGGGTAAATTCTCCCTTAGCGAAGATTACACTGAAAAGCGTATAGGGACCCCCCCCTCCCCCCCCCCTCCCCCTCTTCCCCGAAATTTGTCAGATCGTGAATTCCGATAATCATGCAAGTACCGAGGATTTTTTCCGTGCAGTACGAACATTGGCCGCAGTGACGTGTCCGATTGGTCTGTTAGGGCGTGTGCACTAGGGGTTCGAACTTGTGTCGTTACGATACTATTGAGAGATGTTTCGTCACGGTGCAAAGCGGTTGATGTTCGAACTTTGACACATTTCGCCAAAAGACACACGCCCTCAGGAATGAATCCCTTGCCAGCACGCCACGAAACCGAACCTAGGTGTTACCTGTAATAGTTTAGGACCTAGCGAACATCTGTCAGTGTTTGAAAAAAAACCACACTGATGATGCAGGGTAAAAAATTCAAAACCTGATGTTACACTGCTCTATCAGTGTAACGAAAAAGTACACACTGCCCATAAGGGTTTTTGAAAAAGCTACACTGCCAATCGTGAGTAGGCCAAATCTAAACCTGAGCCCTGGCTGACAGCATTGCACGTGTCAGAAACAGAATGATGTCTGTATTACTGTGAGTTGGGGTACAGATACCTAACCATAACAACTGTACCCCACATGACATGCCTCACTACATGCTACAACATTTGACACACCCCCATAGCCTAGGTGAAGGGTGTCATGCAACAACCAAACCGTACGGTCACAAGACCATTCACAAAGAGACAAAGCTCAGGGAGGATCACAACGTCACCACACAGTCCAAGCACAAAAAAGAGGCCACAAGGCCAGTCCAAGAGTTCACAGAGGTATATATAAAGAGTACAAACAAAGCAAGTAGACAACACAAGTCTACACAAGACGAGAACCTGTGTCAACGAGACCTAACTGCACACAAAACCTGTGGTGGTCACAAGGCGGAAGGGCCTTGGTGAAGATGTCTGCAGTGTTGGCCTCGGAGCCCACGAAGTCCAAACGAGCCTGTCCACGCCTCTGCAACTCTCGAAGAAGAAAGTACCTGACGCTGATGTGCTTCACTCTGCTCTCCAGTCGAGGCTCTCGACACAGGAGAATCATCGCCTTGTTGTCTGTGAACAAGGTCGGTGCAGAGCTCGGCCGCTCACCAAGGTCAGTGAGCAAGAAGGTCAACCAACGCAGCTCCTGTGCAGCCATGGCTCCAGCGTAAATCTTAGCCTCAGCAGTAGAGGTCGAGACAGAGGAGGAACGACTAGACCTCCACGACACAGCTCCAGAGCCTAGACTGAAACAGTACCCCTGCGTGGACCTGTGAGTCTCGACGTCGTCAGCGTAAGAAGAGTCACAGTGGCCAGTGAGCACGACAGGCTGTCTCCCTCCAAGCACCAGCCCCACGCCTGATGTCATCGCTAGGTACTTCGCCACCCTCACATCAGCTGTCCAGTGAACAGGACGGTGTCTCCCTGGCGCAACAAAGCGGGCAAGGACGCTGAGAGGGAAGGCGAGGTCCGTGCGAGTACAAGTCATCAATTACATGAGGCAGCCCACAAGCTCTGGGTAAGGACCACTAGGCTCAAACGGCTCGGCAGGGAAGGGTCCAGTGAGTCTGTGGTAAACAGCAAGAGGAGTAGGCTGTGCAGTGGAGAACTGAAACCCGAACCGCTGAAGAACCTGCTGCACCATGTGTGACTGCGTCAGAGTGATGATGCGAGCTGCTCTGTCCCTGGTGATCTGCAGGCCAAGGTAGTGGCGCAGCTCACCAAGATCAGTGCACGTGTGTCTCCTCTGCAGTTCGGACTTCACGTCCGCCAAAGCAATCGTGTCAGCAGTGGCGAAGACCAGGCCGTCGGCGTAGACCAGTACAAAGAAAGGTGTGGAGCCACGACGAACAAGCAGCGACGGGTCGGCAGAAGACGGCTGGAAACCGAGGTCAGACAGGGTAGAACGAAGAGTGTGGTGCCACTCACGAGGCTGTCAGAATGTGAATGACGGAATGAATGATTAGAAAGCAAGGATGAGTACAAGTACTAGGTTTGACCTAAAGTATTGTGCTCACTAGAGGCTATCCCACTACAGCCAACACATACAAATGTAATTTGACACACCCCCATAGGCAAAAAAAGGGATAGCAAACGAAACGAACGGTCACAAGACCAGTCAAGCAAGAGAACAAAGCAAAGCAAAGCTCAGGGTGGATCTCAAGGACACCACACACTCCGAGCACAAGCAAGCGGCCACAAGGCGAGTTCACATGCAGTTGGATTATAACACAAGCAATACAATGATTAAAACATAGCAACCAGAAACATGCAGGTTTATATATCAAAGTACAGAGCAAGATTAAGAGACAAGCAAGTGAGGCAGAGTGGGCACAAGCCCAAGAGCAGTGCAGAAACGCTGATGATCACTAGACCCAAGGGCCTTGGTGAAGACATCAGCAGTGTTTGCCCGTGTGGCCACGTAAGCAAGACGAAGCTGACCACGCTGCTGCAGCTCTCGCGTGAGGAAGTAACGGAGAGCAATGTGCTTCGTTCTGTGCTCCAGTCTCTGGTCCTGACACAAGGCAATCATGGCCTTGTTGTCAACGTACAGAACTGGAGGAGAACGAGGCCGCTCACCCAAGTCGGTCAGCAGGTAGGTCAGCCAGCGGAGCTCCTGTGCAGCCATAGCCCCAGCGTAGATCTCGGCCTCACAGCTGGAACTAAGTACAGAAGAAGAGCGAGTGGACCTCCACGAGACAGAACCAGTGCTGAGGCTGAAACTGTACCCCTGTGTCGACCGGTGAGTAGTCTAGTCGTCAGCTCAAGAAGCGTCTGAGTGACCGGTGAGAACAACTGAACCCGGTCCTCCAAGAACGAGCCCCATGCCCGATGTACTGCACAAGTAACGCAGTACCCTCTTCGCAGCATCAAAGTGCACCTTTCGGTGTCTACCGTGAGCCACGTAGCGAGCTAGGAGGCTAAGAGGGTACGCGAGGTCAGGTCGTGTGCACGTCATCAGGTACATGAGGCAACCCACAAGCTCTGGGTACGGACCACTCGGCTCTACGGACTTGTCCGAAAGTGGAGCTGAGAGCGAGTGGCCGGTAGACAGAGGAGTGGGCTCTGGCGAGGACCACGTGAAGTCGAAGCGCTGAAGGACCTCCTGCACCATGTGTGACTGAGTGAGGGTGATGGTGCGGCGTGCTCTGTCCCGGGTGATCTGCAAGCCAAGATAGCTCCTCAGCTCACCCAGGTCAGTGCAAGTGTGTCTCTCCTGCAGCTCCGCCTTCACCAAGGACAGAGCCTCAGAGTTAGCAATAACAAAAACCAAGTCGTCAACTTACACAAGAACGTAGAACGGCGGCAGAGAAGTGTCTGTGCGCAGAAACAGCGGAGGGTCAGCAGTCGAGGGAGCGAAGCCAAGAGCCGCAAGTGTAATGGAGGTACTACTGGAGGTACTGCTGGAGGTACTGGAGTTAGTGGTGCTAGTCGGCAGGAGTCGCTCTCGCCGCTGCAGCTACGCGAATGGGCTGTTCGTTGGGGCAGTCCCGGTGGTGGAGCTGGAGGCACTGGTTCTGGGGGTGCTGTTGCTACTGGAGCTGGAGGTTCTGGGGGTGCGACTACTCAGCCGCAGCCGTCTGCGCTTCGTCACCTTCTCAGTCTCCCGCTGCTACTGAGTTCCCGGTTGCTGGTACTACTCCTCCGTTACTGTTCCCACCGACTGACCAGTCTCAGCAAAAGCTACTGCATGGCTCCCCGCTGCCTGCTACTGCTCCTCACACTGAGGTGACTACGTCCCTGACTGCGCGTCGTGAGCCTGAGACTCGTGCTTCCACTCCTGAGCGTCGAGAGCCTGAGTCTAGAGCTTCTGTCCCTGCTCGTGTTCGTCGTGTTCGTCGTCCTCGTGCTCCGGCTGTACCAGGCACTCACGATATGACACTCCGTCCTTCCTCTGTTCCACAGCGTGTTGTCCTGCCTGAACCTCCTGCGTCCTCTCTTCCACACGTTCCTGACCCTGAGTCTGACCTTGTCCGTGCTGCCAGTCCGACTGTCACTCGCCTCCTTGCCACAGTTGTGATTGACCCTTCCTTTGAGTCTGCTGCTGCGTCTGCCTTAGTTGCTGAGCTTGTTGACTTTGCTGCTTTGTGCCGCCTTGACAACGCTGCGAGTCTTGTTTTTTGCTCTTCCTGTCCTCCGTCCGTCGGGGGTGAGCTTGCCCTTGGCTGTGACGTTCTTGAGGA